GAGACTCCGTCTCAAAAAAAAAAAAAAAAAAAAAAAAAAAAAAAAAAAAGAAAAAAAATCCAATTAGAAAATGGGCAAAAGATCTGAATACACATTTCTCAAATGAAGACATAAAAGTGGCCTACAGGCATATGAAAAAATGTTCAATATCACTAATCATCAGAGAAATGCAAATCAAAACCACCATGAGATATCATCTCACCCCATTTTAAAATAGCTTTAATTTTAAAAGACAGAAAATAACAGATGCTGGCGAGGATGTGGAGAAAGGGGAACCCTTGTACACTGTTGTTGGGAATGTAAATTAGTACAGCCAGTATGGAAAACTGTTGGAAGTTCCTCAAAAAACTAAAAATAGAACTACCATGTGATCCAGCAATTCCACTACTGGATATATATTCAAAAGAAAGGAAGTCAATATACTGAAGAGATATCTGAATTCCCATGTTTATTGCAACACTATTCATAAAAGCCAAAATGTGAAAGCGACCTAAGTGTCCATGAATGGATGAATGGATAAAGAAAATGTGGTGTATGTATATATATATGCAATAGAATATTATTATTCAGCCATAAAAAAGAATAAAAGTCTTGTCATTTGTAGCATCACAGATAGAACTGAAAGTCATTACGTTAAGTGAAATAAGTCAAGCACAGAAACACAAATAGCACATGTTCTCACTCACATGTGGGAGCTAAAAAAGTGGATCTCATGAAGCCTGAGAAGATTAGCAGAGGCCAGGAAGGGTAGGGGGAGGGGAGGATAAAAAGAGGTTGATTAATTGGTACAAATATACAGTTAGGTAAAAAAAATAAGAACCAGTGTTCAATAGGTCACTAAGGTGACTATAGTCAACAACAATCTATTACACTTTTCAAAATAGCTAGAAGAACGTCTGTAATCCCAGCGCTTTGGGAGGCTGAGTGAGGAGGATGACTTGACCCCAAGAATTCAAGACCAGCCTGGGCAATATGTCAAGACCCTGTCTCTACAAAAAAAAAAAAAAAAAATTTAAATTACAAATTAGCTGGGCCTGGTGGTGCACACCTGTAGTCCTAGCCACTCAGGAGGTTGAGGCAGGAGGATCTCTTGAGCCCAGGAATTTGAAATGGCAGTGAGCTGTGATTGTGCCACTACATGCAGCCTGGGCTACAAAATAAGACTCTGTCTCTAAAAAATAAAAATAAATACCTAGAAGAGAATAATTCAGATGTTCTTAGCGTAAAGAAAAGATAAATATTTAATGTGATACACAAATTGCTCTCATTTGATGTTTACACATTATATGAATGTATTCGATGATCACGTGTACCTCCAAAATATACACATATATGTATCAATAAAAAAATAAAGATTATAATAGTTCAGAAGGCAAAAAAAAGTTACCTAAGTAAAACTAATTGGCTCTATCTATGTGGGTCTATTTCTGGACTCTCCATTCTGTTCCATTAATCTATGTGTCTATTCCTTTACAAACGCCACACTATTTTTGATTAATGGATTAATGTAGCTTTAGAAAAAGTCTTCTAATCAGCTGGGTGCAGTGACTCATACCTGTAATCCCAGCACTTTGGGAGGCCGAGGCGAGCAGATCACGAGGTCAGGAGATTGAGACCACTCCTGGACACGGTGAAACCGCGTCTCTACTGAAAAAAAAAAAAACAAAACAAAAAGTTAGCTGGGCAAGGTGGTGGATGTCCTATGTTCCAGCTACTCAGGAGGCTGAGGCAGGAGGAATGGCGGTGAACCTGGGAGGCAGAGCTTGCAGTGGACGAGATCACGCCACTGGCCTCCAGGCCTGGGCTGACAAAAGCAAGACTCTGTTCTCAAAACAAAAACAAAAACAAAACAAAACAAAACAAAAAAAACCAAACACACTTTTTCTTTGATGTTGTTAAATTTTAAGGCCAGGTGCGGTGGCTTCACACCTGTAATCCCAGCCTTTTGGGAGGGCCAAGGTAGACGGATCACAAGGTCAGGGGTTCGAGAGCAAGCCTGGTCAATATGGTGAAACCCCATCTCTACTAAAAATACCAAAATAGCCAGGCATGGTGGCGGGCGCCTGTAATCCTAGCTACTTGGGCAGGCTGAGGGAGGATCACTTGAACCCGGGAAAGCAGAGGTTGCAGTGAGCCAAGATGCACCACTGCACTCCAGCCTGGGTGACAGAGCGAGATGCCGTTCTCAAAAAAAAAAAAAAAAAAAAAGGTTGGGTGCGGTGGCTCACACCTGTAATCCCAGCACTTTTGGAGGCAAGGCAGGCATATCACGGAGTCAGGGAGATCGAGACCATCCTGGCGTAACACAGTGAACCCATCTCTGCTAAAAATACCAAAAACTTAGCCAGGCATGTGGCGGGTGCTGTAAGTCCGCTACTGAGGAGGCTGAGGCAGGAGAATGGCATGAACGTGGGAGGTGGAGCTTGCTGTGAGCCAAGATTGTGCCACTGCACTCCAGCCTAGGCGACAGAGCAAGATTCCATCTCAAAAAAAATAAAATAAATAATAATAATAATAATTTACTGTAATGTTTCCAGGTATGCATGTTTTTCCCTCTTTTTGGCCTTTATTCTTATCTATCCTGTAAACTCTTTCCTTGGTGTTCTTTTGTCTTTAATCCTGGGACATTTTTGGTCATTCTTCAGATATTTTCTATATTAATTATTGTTTATTTTTCTCTCCTAATACTCCTTCTCACACAAATGCAAGCGGAATGTTTCCATTTCTTCTTCCCACTCCGTATCTAAGTTGTGTGTGTGTGTGTGTCTGTGTCTTCCCTCCCATCCCTTCCTGATGCCTTCTAAAGGTGTTCCTCTTTCTGATCTTTCTGCTTACTGACTCCTTATTTGGCTGTTTCCTTTGGCTCCGTCAGTGAGCCAAGATCGTGCCATTGTACTCCTGCCTGGGTGACAAAGTGAGACCCTGCCTCAAATTAATTAATTAATTAATTAATTTTCCTAGTCAGCCCAACTGTTTTATTTCATGTGTCTTTATTTCATGTGTTGTGTTGACTGTTCCCTGTGCACATCAGCTACCTTGGTGATAAAGTGAGTGAAGGAAAGACCAAAGGTCAGGCCCCAGCTGTGCTCCACCAGGCAAGTTTATACAGCGAGTGGAGCAACACCCTCAGAGCATAGTACTTCTGGCAACACTCTCTGGGCTTGAACTCTTCCTATTTGTCAACCCTGTTTGTCATTGCTCCACCAGGGACCCTGCCTTCAGTTAACGTGCTATGCTTCTGATTTGGGTATGTTCTTTTCAAGAGAGTTGTTGGGATAAGGAGAGGGAGGGTAAGCACAGAATCCCAAAGGGGAGACAGTTTCCTATACCAGTTGTTTTCTGCTCTCCATCCTAGTCTGGCTACCTACCCAAGCTTACATTGTCCTCCCGGGAGACAGGTGCTAGGTTTTTGTTGTTTTCCCTCCCTCGCAGTTTTGACATAGAAAGTGACCAATAAATATCTTCCCAATGTTGAATGAATGAATGAGCACACAGAGTACATATCTTTCAAAAAGTTTTAGGGAGTAAAATTAGGCAGAGTAATCCTCAGTAATCCTTAGGCAGAGATAACAACAGAATGGGCCAGGCGCGGTGGCTCAAGCCTGTAATCCCAGCACTTTGGGAGGCCGAGACGGGCGGATCACAAGGTCAGGAGATCGAGACCATCCTGGCTAACCCGGTGAAACCCCGTCTCTACTAAAAAATACAAAAAACTAGCCGGGCGAGTTGGCGGGCGCCTGTAGTCCCAGCTACTCGGGAGGCTGAGGCAGGAGAATGGCTTAAACCCGGGAGGCGGAGCTTGTAGTGAGCCGAGATCCGGCCACTGCACTCCAGCCTAGGCGACAGAGCGAAACTCCGTCTCAAAAAAAAAAAAAAAAAAGAACAGAATGAATTTTTGTCAGCAGGCTAATGTAAGTGTTGACTTGAGAAATGCAGAAGGTAATTAACAGTAGCTTATGGCACGAGGAATTCTGGTTGCAAATAACTCTTGGTTGGCTAAGTATGTTTTTATAAAACCACACTGATAAATTATGGCAAGTATTAACTGGCCATAAAGGATCTTTCGCAGCAGTTTGTAGCACACTTCTTGACTATCAGGACGTTGGGTGTTAAAGTATAGAGTAACTACTTTAGAAAAACTCCAGACAGAGGATCAAGGTAAGGAAGGAACACTAACCAAGGGAAAGGAGAGAAAATTCCTCATTACAAGGAAGCATGATAACAAATGAGGAAGAAAGTAGAATAGGGATATTAAATTTTGAGGTCATTTTTCTTCTTAGAAGTTACCCAAATGGGATGGTCAAATGCTAATTAAAACAAAATAAAATCAAGCAGGTACACTAAGAGGGAGGTGAACTATAATGAAATTTTAATGCTTTGAATATTTATTTACACATTGTTTCAAGAAAAAGAAATTAAAGCCAATGCAAGTGAGTAAATGAGAAAGTCTTCTGAGGGCACTTTGAACTCCAGTGAATAATTTACACTGGAGATGCCCAGTGTAATTATTAGTTTCTTGTTCAGTAGGCTTTCTGGAAACCGACAATTAACTGATGCCACTGAACTCTTAATGAATGAAGCACTCTGGGGCTTGTTAAAAGTGCAAGAGTAGATCACTTAGTTTCAAGTTATTAATAAGTTGCTCCAGGGATCATTACAGGCATCTAGTATCCCTTCCAGACCATCTCATTATGAGGCATCTGGGATGCCTGGTGTTCTCATAAATGGATGCTCCAGGGAGGAGGTCAAGAGGGTCCTCTTACAAAGCCATCTTGAGAAGTTGTCAGTAAAGTTTTGGTCGCCCTCTGGGGAAGGGAAAGGCAGCTCCTGTGTTTTCGATGAGCTTTGCTCCTATGGGAGAGAGGTCCTCCACTGAGTGGGAACTGTTCCTCAAAGATGGTTTAGGGCAGAGATTGTCAAGAATTGTCTCTTACAAACTGAACTATTTATGGGTAAAACGTTAGAATGTCTGAGATTTACTTTAAAATACTCCAAAGCAAACCAACAACCCTCTAAAAGCAAAAACTAAAAAATCTGGAGGGGATAAATGAAACAAGATTGGGAAAATGTTGGTGATTTTTAAGGCCTGGAGGGGGTTCATTATACTAGTCTCTTTATATTTATATATGTTTGATAACTTCCATAAGAAAAACCTCTAAGTGGGTACATAGAAAAGGATTGTCCATTTCCTATATATATTATTTTAAATCAGTTATTACTCTATGTAGTTATTAGAATTCTTTCAGGTACAATTAACAGAATCCCCAATTCACATTGGCTTAAACAATAAAGGGAATGTATAGATTCATGTAGCTGAAAAGTACTGGGCAGTTCTAGGTATCAGGTGATGCTTGATCCTATAGCTCAATGATGTTACCAAGGACTGAATTTCTATCACTCTGTTCTGTTTTCTATGATGTTGGTTTCATGCTAAGGATCATATATCTCCCAGTTTCAAGAAGATTGTGAACAGGTACTGGGTTACATGTGTCATCCGGCAAAAGCTGGATTTGTTATAGCATCTCCAAGAAAACTCCCAATAGGACCAGCTTAAGGCCATATGCCTAACCCTGAGCCATTGTCTAATCAAGGAGGTAGAATCTTTCTCTTACTGAGGTTAGGTCACATTCTCCATTCCTGGAAACCAGGATCAGGAACCTCTCAGATCTCCAAACGGAATCAGGATTGATGGAAAGGAAAAAGGGTGAAATGGATGTTAGGAGGCCATCAACAAATGTCTGCTACACTCACCATGTGTAAAGCTTCTAGTAGAATAGAACAGAGGGCATTGAACCATATCTTCTAAAACTGCAATAGAGGTGTGAAGCTGTGGTCAGAGATCAGGGACCTAGATAGTCTGTAGAAGTGGAACATTTCCTTAAGGCAGTGTCTGGTGTGGATGGGAATGGTTTTGAAAGTGCAATGTGCTTCATTTTGGAGAGTGTATTTACTCCTGGAAGAAAGGCATCATTTTGCCTGGTGTAGGGCGAGTGCTGGGTTTGTTCTGGGCATCCCAGGCTGTCATGATAAGAATGCACTTGAGCCAGGCACGGTGGCTCACACCTGTAATCCCAGCACTTTGGGAGGCCGAGGTGGGCCGATCAAGAGATCTGGAGTTTAAGACCAGCCTGACCAACGTGATGAAACCCTGTCTCTACTAAAAATAAAAACATAAGCCGGGCGTGGTAGGGCGCACCTGTAATCCCAGCTACTCAGGAGACTGAGGCAGGAGAATCACTTGCACCCAGCAGGCACAGCTTGCAGTGAGCCAAGATCGCGCCACTGCACTCCAGCCTGGGCAACACAGTGACACTCTGTCTCAAAAAAAAAAAAAAAAAAGAATGCACTTGAGTACTCTTGCAGTATAATATCTCCATGCTTTGGAGATAATCTCCATCACTAATACTCACATCAGGTACCTACATGCCTCATTTAGCGTGGCAATTTGAGAAATATTTTATATTTTTACATTTTTTCCCTTTTACACCAACAAAGCAAAAACGTAGTGAAAAATGTCTTAATATTTAAAAATATATACACTTAAGATATCTATCTATATGAAATATAGGTATCCATAGAGTG